AAACACAACTAGAACAACAATTTAAAAAGTTTTAATTGAGCCTATACTATGAATCACAATTTGGCAAAATAATAGAATACTGCATCCAAATTGCAGATTGAACTAACTACCAATAGGATCCATAAAGTGGTCATCCAAGTAATCCTAAAGATACAAAATCTTAAAACTGTATTAAGGAAAAAGGTTCTCTCTCCTTTTTCTGCTTCTTGATTCTCCTTGACCTTTTACCATCAATTTCACATCAAAGGCTTAAATCCAATTTCACCGTTTACGGGCAGATCTTTGGCCATCGTTGACGACAAAATGTTGCAATATCGGCATACAACAGGCCAGATCCAGTCAGTCGTGCGTTATTACGGTGACTTCCGACCATCCTCTAGCGGTGGTGACCGGTTGTCGACATTTAATGGGTGGATAGGGGTGTTTTTGTTAATTTTTAATATTTTATTATAAGGGTGTTTATAATTAGCTAATTAACAAACTTGAAAGGTGTTTTTGTAATTTTCACATGCTACTCATAATAACTACCCAACTCAACTTTTTCAAAAATCTTACCCAAAATAATAAAATAAACTATGTTATTCATACTTTTTTTGTTTTTTTTGTTTTTTGAGTTGCATGCAAGACAAATCTAGCTTTTTAATCCTCCCTCTGAAGGATAGTGTTCTAATCATAATATATTATCCGTATGTATTTTTATCTAGGGTAAAATATATAATACAACGTATGTTATACACTTTTTCTATTATTATTATAACAAAAACTTAAATATACAAAAAAGAATTATAATAAATATATTTCATAAAAATAATAGATTTTCTTACAATTAGAGGTCTTTTAAATGTTTATTGATAGAGAAAGATCTTGAAATTATAATAAAAAGTTTAAAAAGAAAGTATAAATTATATAAAAAAATTTAAAGAATTTTGTAATTAATTAACTTTTAAATGGTCTTATATAACCAAACTTTAGTAATATATAATATAGCCGTTCTTTTTCCCAAAAACTAGCCCAACCTTAGCTTTCTCAGGGCTACACGATTGGAATTATCTTTCGTATAGAATTCTTTCTGAAACTTCGATAAGATTTTTATTATTTGATCAAGTTTCAGATAATTAAACCAGTAAATTATCTGTTAAATATTGATTTTGAGTTTAATTAAAATACAATAATGTGTGTCTTATTAGGTTTAGGAAACATCAAGCTTATCTATATATATATATATACATATATAACAACTCCCATAATCTCACTACAACCCTAATTGACTCTCATCATTATTTTCTTCTTCTTGCAAATTCAGAATGGTGAAGATAAAAGTTCACTATCTCTCTCTCTCTTCAGAGTCATTCATCTAATTCACACGGAGCCACTGGCACTGCCACCGCCGGCAAGAGTATTCGTTTTCCATGCCACCCAAGTAAAGCCGGAACCAAACCCAACACAAAAATCAACAAAAACTTTGAATCGGTTGGAAGAAATAAAAAGAGAGCCCTTGAGCCTGCAAAACACACATTCGAGAAAGCCAAGAGTAGCTATAAAATGGATTCCGGTGAAACTCTGGTGAAGAAAGGTTTGCAAAACACTACTGCCATTGAAGTCAAAGGGTTAGATGATGAAGTGGGTTCTGATCAAAACCCTGCTGATCAGGGTGAAAGGAAGAGGCTAGTTATAATTAAGATGGAAACTTACGGCAGATGGGAGGGCAAAGATAATCAAAGATTCCAATCCGACTGGCGAACCACGCGCAAACTTGGAAGGTAACGGTGATCATGGAGCAGGAACCATCGAGGAAAAGGTTTAAGATATGCACACCATGGTGGAAGCCAATCGGCAAACCCAGAATTTCACTTGGAGCTCCAGGGTTATGCTCACGCTCATCAGATGCATACACGAAAGTTCTTTAATTTTGTTATTAGTAAATTGTAATGTCTCTTAATTTTCTGAGAGGATCTGGATCTCCATTAAATCTGTCCAAAATTTCATACAAAAAGTATATAGCAAAACATATTTACCTATGACGATATCAAGAGATATATAGTACTTGATCGATCAATAAAACTTTTGGTTAGACTAAGAAATAATTAATGATAGTCTCTTTCTCAATGAGCTATACTGCAAAAATTAATTAAAGTTATAAGATATTGTGGTTAATGGTGTACAACTTGAACATACATAATAGGTTATAGAAATTAAAAGAATAATCCTCTCTCTAAACAATGGTGTTGTAATAATAATATAGATAATACTTTCCCGACAAACCTTTTACACTAATTTTTTTTCACAAACGCGATGTGGTAGTTGACCAATAGATCCTGCCTGCCCAATAATGGATCTCATATGACCAATTTCAAACTACTAGATTGCGTTTGTGAGAAGAGTTTATTAGCCTATCTTTATTGTAATAATATATACTATTAATATGTAGTTTTATCTAGGTTAATTAATAGATTACATTCAACAGCACTATTTTAACAAATTGAGAAATACATAGATCTGCCAACACATTGAAAGAATAAAGTATACAGATATCTATAGAAGGCATGTTAATGAAATCACCAAGATTTTGAGGAGAAAGAAGTTTTGGTGCTATTTATGCAAGTGTGGCTTACGGGGCTAATAGGGTTCCAACCATTATTTGATGAAGATCAACAAAGTTATGTGGTTCATAGTTATCAAATCGCGAATTGTATCGTATCGTATCTTATCATATCGTATAGTAAGATACGTCTTTTAAAAAAAATAATAAAATAATAAAAAATTTCTAAAAATTAATATTATCCCCAAGATTAATTAACGAATTTTGTGATATTATTGGCTTTAAATTATAGTATTATATAATAAAAATTAGGAATTTATATTATTTCATTTCAACCATTCATATCATTTTCAAGATCAATGTCAATATTTATATTTCCATTTGTGTTATTATTATCATGCAAAATGGGTAACACATCCTCCTCTTTACTTTTTTCATACAAAATGGGTAAATTTGGACGGGTTGGGTGACCCAGATCCAACCCAAAAACTTTTTTGGGCCTTCGGCCCAAATTAACAAAGTCATATAGATATTTTTAAGGATAAAAACTAATACATATTGTATCACATAATAGATATCAATGTATTGAAATGTTTTGGATATATACTCTAATACGTATCATTGGCGACCCGTATTGTAAAATACGTATTGCATATCGTAGGATAGTAATAACCATGATGTGGTTGACTGGGTGTCTATAGTAGCTGAGTTCCGTTTGAAAGAACTCAGATTGTAGGGGGGACCTTAGCGAAATTTTTTAGTCTAATATAACATGTATTATAAATAATACTAATTATTTTTTCTTATACAACATATATCGAATGTTTAGAAATGGAGAAAGATCTTGAAAATAAAATGAAAAGTTGCATTTTGTAATTAAACTTGTAAATAGTCTTATAACCAAAACTTCAGTGGTTATAACGAATTTTTTTCCAAGAAAACTAGTCCAGACATGCGATTGTTATCATCATGTCTAATGGGTATATATTCTTTTATTATTATTTTTTTTTAATGACTGGGGGTGTCTGAGTCAGTTTATACGCATCTCAACTAATATCTCGAGACCCTGAAACCACTAGTTGAGTAAGAGCTCCAATGACCTCTCCTATTAGCAACCGTAGGGACTCAAACTCGGGAGACTATGTCAGATCGTTTTCTTGCTTTTTTACCATCAAGGAGGCTCGAATTTAAAAGACCATGTTAAATCGTCCTTTTATCATCAGGCCACCTTGTGGTGGTTTACGTCAACTAAATGCTTGAATTGTCAGAGTCACAAATGTTGAAATAAAGAGAGTTTTAAGGAATCATATAATTGTATATTTCTGTGTATTTTAAACTATACAAAGGAGATCTCTATATATAGTGGAAAAGGTCAAAATTAATAAGGAAATTAATACACTATATGAAAAGATTCTAACCTAGTATAATTATTGGAGATTATAGCATAATTATAAGAAAAATCATACATTTTAGGGATAATTATAAGATACTGATTTTTGAAAACCTCGCAATTCCAGTCCAAATATTATGATTTTTGACAAAAGTGGTTTGACAAACTGTAGTTTTGGTCGCCGACAGGATTTTTGAAGCCCAGATTTTCTGACAAAACGGTGCGAGGTGGCGAGGACTTATCCATGCTCTCTCTTTCAATCTTCATCTACTTCCAAACAACATTCAATTCTTTCATTTTTACTTTAATCATGGAAGAAAGCAATTTTAGCAGCCACCCCCAAGCCTTTATTTTAACACAAGCAAACTGGGTATCGTATTGAATCCTTCCTCATATAGAGTTAAAGATATGTAAAACAAAACTGATTGAATTTTCTATTTCAGATCTTATCTTTGTGTAACATCATATTATAAAATTAGTGAGCTTAAGTTTTAAATGTTGTCACTCTCAGAATAGGCATCGGTGACAAAATCAAATGGACCCCAAGCTTTTGATCCAGCCCATGTATAATTTTTTATATTAGACCAGAGTTCAAAGCCCACAAGTATCCAATTCATACCCAAAGCCAGAGGGAACCTGTAAAGTGATCTCAAATTCTGAAGGTTGCAAGGAATGAGTGACGACCCTATACCAGAGATGAGTAGTAGTGTATCAGGTAGGACTCAAAGGTAAAAAATTCATGACACTGCCTCAGCTCCACAATTAAGAGTAGTTCAAAGATGCTCGTCACCGGTATTACTTCAGAACCAGGCTTCAGGCAGGCAGCCGGCTTCGATACTATAAGGGGGAAACTTCTGCCACCCTTTGTATCATTCAAGATATATATCCAAGCCATGTATACATTAACTAAGAAGTGAAACTTCAGTAATGATTCAAACTTTGTTCAAGTAACAACTTATAACTCAGGACATCTTTTTGGGGACTGCCATCATCAAAAAACTGACAAGGAACTCATAATTACACAACACCAGTCATGAACAAAGTGATAAGTGTATAAATCTACAGAGACATCTACATTGAAACTGCCATGTTCATCTTACGCATCCATGATGTTATCGCTGATCTGATTCGTGTAGACCATGTTGTTGTCTCCTTATTACAAACTGGACCTGTAGGCTCTGCCTTCTCCTTGTAGACTGTATTAAGCGTTATATTGCTGCAAGCCTTAGGTAGAGTAATTTTCAACAATTACAAACAACAATAAAAATTTTATGATATTCAAGAGAAATATTCATGAGGAAAACAGTAAATTTAGAACTGGATAACATTAGAATCATGACAAAGTGAAAGAAGCAAACCTCATAAAGTGGCTGTCCATCCACAACTACCCAGGGCACATACTGATGAGGAGGCTCAAGGGAATTGGTTTCAGCTGCATAATGTAACTCAAGCTGCATCATACATTGAGAAGAAAGTTGGGCTTCGACGAACTAAATATCAGCAGGAGAGAAAAATGAAATAAAAAATAAACAAAAGAAGTTATCCGGTATGATATTGGGTCACTAGAAAAACAGATGATTTAGAATGAAGGCAACAAAACCATAAAAAACCAACCAAATGATGGAAGGTCAAGAAATAATATTAGGCCTGAAAACGTCTTTTAGGCAATTAAAGGCATTTCCTCGTAGAATACAATATAACAATCACAGTTTATACCAGTTTCACAGGCACCCAGGAACTATTTTTCCTACTACTATTTAATTAACTCCACAGTCCCTCAGTGTGGAATCCACTATCAGGCCACAGTTTCTTGTTTTTTACTTTAAAAGAAAGTTAGAGACATAAAAACTAATATTTAATTACCGAAAAAACTGCAAACTCCCCTGCACTCTGGTAATAGATAAGTGCAGAAAATAGCTCCTAGTTTAAATCAAAAGCGTAGAGATGATACAATATTCATATCCTTCAAACAGTGTATATATACTACAAGCTGCTGAAGCTTAATACCATATACATGCTAATTCTTGAGATGTTTGATGACTAGACCAAACTAACGAATACAATTCAACTGGGCAACAGCACATTAATTTAAAGAAAGACTATAACTCCGGATTAACGTATACCGTCAACATGAAAAAGAGTCATTCTCATTTCTATTGTTTGAAATAACATAACAGAATTCAATACACAAAAACGTGCATTAAGTCAACATGAAACTAAATACTGATTTTCGAGCACACCAACCATCTACAGCTGAAGTAATATTGTAAACATAATAAATTATTCTTATTAAAATTCTTCAACATCAATAAATTAATTCTTATTCAAATTCCTATTCCTACTCTTGAGTGAAGTTGTAAATTATCTGAAATCTGTAGAATCAATATCCTATTGGTATTGGAAATTTATTAATTTAACTCTTAATCAAATTTCTTTTCGTAAAGGCATATCACAGACTTGTTACATAAATAGGAGTATACTTCTTTGACACAAGAAACCATAATTCCCTATATCAATTTAAATCCTTGCCAAAAATAAATAAAAAAAGACCTACTGTAATTTCTAACTCTTATATAGATAGTAGTATTGAGAAACACTAGTTTTAGAGCAATTATGAATTGAGAAATTTAATTGCAATGTCTTGAAACTTTTAAAAAGAAAAGAGAAAAATACAAAATTAAAAGGGTAATTTTAGATATTATATAGAAATAGGGGCTAATAGTTTAATTGTTGGGATGCGTATATAATATCACTCATTAATAAATTACTCTTATTAAAATTCTTAAAAATCAATAAATTTATTCTTATTTAAATTCCTACTCCTACTCATACTCTATCAGTAGAATCAGTATCCTATTGGTATTGGAAATTAATAAATTTAACTCTTACTCAAATTTCTATTCCTACTCGTAAAGGCATATCACAAACTTATTATATAAATATTAGTATACTTCTTTAACATAAGAAACCATAATTCCCTCCCTATATCAAATTTCTTGAAATTTCCCATTCAATTCCATGGCAAACCTTTTGAAGAAGATGTTAACTCTGTTACAGAGCAAATTCGAAAAGAAAGAGGAGAAAGACCATAGGGATGATGAGGATGCAAAGAGGATTTGGGAGTCACTTTCGGAAGATATATTAGGCGAAATTATCCGCAAATTAAGTTTACGTGATGCTCTTAGTATGAGTAGGACTTGCATGTCAGGGAGATCTGCATTGCAAAACAATGTCCAAAACATTGTCATCTTCCCGTGGATGATGTTACCTTATGAAAGGGAAACCAATTGTGTGAGATTCTTTGATTTGTGTGGAGGCTTTCTTTATAAATTCAACCTCCCCAAGAAATTAGGAAGAGTCCATTGGTGTTTTGGATCTTCCAAAGGTTGGCTTATAATTGCTAATGGCCCTCAACGCAATCCCCGAAGTTTTCTCTTCAATCCAATCTCAGGTATACATATTCAGTTACCTCCTCTCACGACAATTCCATCTTTTCAAACTTACCTAACTCACCAATCTGAATTGAAAGTTTCACGAGATATTGATCACTTTTTTGTTAAATTCGAATTATCATCGACAGATTCTACGAATGTTATAGTTGCAGGAATCATGTTTCCATATGATAAGTTGGCAATTTGCAGGCCAAAAGACAAGAGTTGGACTATCTGGGATTATGATACTTATTTACGAGACATCCTATATTCTAATGGAATATTGCATGCTTTGATCCACACAGAATTACATTTTCTTGAAACACATCCATTGAGGGTAGGGGATGAGGATGTTATTCTCAAAATATTATCAGTCCCTTGTCCTGATATCCAACAATATAATGAAATTGAATTTGAATTAGGATCAACAGCGGTTTGTGGAGGGGTTGAGTCATATTTGGTGGAGTCCAAAGGTGAAATTTTACTTGTTCAAAAGATGCTTGAACATACAGCTACTCAAATAGACTACTATGATCATTATGATACTAGGTGTCTATTTAATTATGACTCAACTCGTGGATTTTATGTGTTGAAGATTGGTTATCCTACTATCGCATCCATCGATACGACTGGGTTAAATAGCTTGGATGATCAAATATTATTTGTGTCACAACACAGTTCATACATTCTAGATAGAAATCTCAACTACTTGGAAGGGAATTGCATTTTCTTTTTGGATGAGAATGGTCATGTTTACGAGGAAGATTATGATCTGGGAGGAAATCTTCTATTTTGTGAACCACATCCCTCTCGCGAATCGGGTATTTTTTATTTTAAAGATAAAAAAATATTACGTGTTTTCCCAAGTTTCAAGAATTTACCAGATTTTCAAATGCGTTGGTTTTTACCCAATATATGGTAGAAACAAAGTTGAAGTAATTCATAGGTTTTATTTATTTATTTTTATCATATCTTACATGTATAAGGTCTGAGTCAATGTTAACTTGTTGCTCTTTATTCATTAATATAATCTCTATTATAAATAAAACAATTGTTATGTAATATAGAGTTTGTAGTATTTGGGGTGCTAGTTATGCGTGTACTCTATTAATTATTACATGAAATCTTAATTTATTTTGAAATGAATTTGAAGAAAATTGTGCAGAAAAGAGATATATATGAAAGTAAGGATATCCTTGAAGAATATCCATGGCATGTGTTCATCTTAGAAGAATGCTGAAATTAAATAATTAGGTTTTGGTGCCTTGCACAATTGGTTTGCCTCTTTTGATGAATCATGAATGTTGGTCTACCAGGTATCTAAGCTAGCTGCTAGCCTGCTACATACTTTTTACAAATTAATTAGGTAAAGAGCGAATCCACATTCACCACCTCGTTCAATCAAAACTCAAAAGTTCATGGAAATTGCCAATATATATAAATATGCCCACTCCTCTACTTTGATATGAGTTACTTTAGTTTGGTAAAATAACCAAAGCTTTTGAACTTATCTTATCCTTATCCTTATATATTGACGCGGGCATTCTACAGGTTTAAGAAACTAATAGCAACAACAATCTGACTATTTTCAATTCTTAAGAAAATTACAGATAATGTGTAACATGGACATGCTTAGAAAACTTAATGTTAATCAATGGTCATCTTTGATAAATCAAAATTTTAAGACAGAAAGATCCATATATATTTGGTATTGCCATGTCTCTGCATATTAGCCTATATGGCAGAGGATGAATATAAGTATGGAAATGAGCATCATATCAGTAAGACAGCCAGCATATTTCATTGTAACTTAAAGCACACATGTGATATATTTCAGCATACAATTTGAATTTCTTTCATTTGAATCAATGTCTTATCAGAATTGGATATATTTCCCATGCGGTTGAAAGCTCCGTTAACCAGAAATTTGTCACTGAAAGGTTTTCTTCTCTAGCTAGTTAATGAAATAGTTCATTTTCTATGTTTGTTTGTAGTTATTTATTTTTCCCTTTTTTTGGTTGTTTTCACAATGAATAACTCTCAAAGTTGGCATATGCCAGATTATTAATTTCAATATGATGAATAAATACGAATTGAAGTGTTAAATCCCATCTATAAAGTAATGCTCCTGACAGAGAGGAACAGTGTAGGAAAAAATAAAAGTAATTGTGCAAAAGAGTATGAAACTGTAATCTTAGAGTTGAAATTCAAGTCTATTTCATTTATATACAGAGTATAACAAGTATATGACATGATTTTTTTAATTTGTATGCTAGCTAGCTAGTGGTTGAGAATGTATTGAGAAGAGCGACTCTAATTTTGATCAAACGTCTATACAAGCATTCAAGTCCATCTTCAAAATCTTGAATGCACAACTCCAGGTTCTTTAGCTGGTTCTGCAAATCTGCAACTTGCTTCATGTTATCAGATTTGCAAGTCTTGTGTTGTCACCAATGAGAAACTGCAATGAAGCATCCACCTTCGCAAATTCATTTGCTTGTGTTTCTTCCTCTACACAAGCCACTCTTGTGTGGTGTATTAGTTTGGAAAATAGTGACCATCCGCTTTTGGACCAGAGATAAAAGACAATAAAGATTCAAATACATCGAGAGTGATTGCTTCCACCTCCTTTAGAATGCTCTTATTGTCATTGTTAGAGAAAGCATTTCTATTTTTCATGACCTTCAGATCTCCCAAGGCCTTTTGCATTGCCTTTTTCGCCGCCTTCCTTGAGGCCAGGTACTTCCTAGCCTCACTTGTGAATCCATTGTCACTTCCACATCTTCAGCACATGACGGACTGAAGTTCTTGTGTTGATTCCTTTTTTTTTTTTCTATTCTGTTAGGAAATTCTTATTGATTTCTCAAATTAATTGAATTACTGCAAACTAGAGGTCTAAATCTATTCTCATGATATCATCATCCCTGCAAGGTGTTGACTATGCAGCTGATCAATAAAGTCCTGGAAAGTGCACAGAGTGCTGGAAGATGCAGTACTGGTGCAATGGTACAACGAACTTTCTGTATAAGCAGGAATGTGTTTCTTTGTTGGTGTTGACTGTGGTTCAATGTGTGTCTTTGTTGGTGTTGACTGTGGTTCAAGTCTTCAGGAAAAAATACTTAGCTACTGTGGCTTTGTTGATGGTGTAGTTGGTATACTGAATAATTGAAAGTCTGCTTACTAAGTAAATTGTGCTGAAATTTACATGCAGGCTGCAGGTAACATTGTGCTGAAATTTACATGCAGACTGCAGGTAACATCAGCCTGCATAACTCGTTCCATTGATGTCCTGAATGGTTGATTCTTGTACTGAATAGTTGAAGATGTGTTGTAGTTCAGTCTTAAATGTAGCATTAGATATGCAGAGTTAAAATGTAGTCCAGCATAAGATGTGCAGTGTTAAAATGCAGTCCAGTGCAGAGATACAACGCAGTTTAACATCAGATGTGCAGAGTTAAAGTACAGTTTGATTTGAGGGGGAATGTTGACTATGCAGCTGATCAATAAAGTCCTGGAAAGTGCACAGAGTGCTGGAAGATACACGGTTTAGTTTTAGGGGGAATATTGAGTATGCAAAGTAGCTGGGTTAAAATGTCAAGAATGGAAGCTAGAATATTTGATATAAAACGACATAGCTTAAGGAGTAATATCCGATGTAAACTAAGTAGTTTCCAGTTCAGCTCATTGACTGAACTTGTATATATGCGCACCTGTACTCCAGCTAAATAAACTGTTAAGTAGTTCAGTTAAGAGGTCACAACTGCCTCTGTTTTTCCTCTCAAATTCTCTCTATCTCTAGACTTTTCTCACACAAGGCATATTCTAATTTTCATTTCCTGCTTGTACTTGCATATTGTTAATACACAAATTTATATATTAAGTATATATGCACGAGTGCACAACCATCATGTTTCCTACAGGAAACTAGTGTTGCAGGGAAGACAGGGTCACATAGTTTGCGGATCATTGAGAAAGAAAAGTAATATTTTTTACTCATGAGAAGATATTAGTGTGATCTTGAAGCTCTGGTGGGAGACATTGTATAAATGCAGCTAATATAATGTTCAGATCCAAATCTGAAATCATGTACCTAATTGAATAAGTTCAGTTAATCTTCAAATGCTTCACAAAATTTACGCCATGAAAGCCTTAGTTTTGAAATAGATCAATAATGAGACTCGATCATTAGTTTATGTCAATTTTAAGTATATATTAGAGCTGTCAAGATTCCAATTGTCTCCAAATATATTGAAAACCATCAATTAATGAAATTCACATGGTAGATTCAATTCTTACACGTTTTAAGCATCGAAAAATGAGCTGGCTGTCCTGGTGTTACAGTACACTATCCAATATGTAATAACTAATATTTCTAACATCAAGGAAAGCAATTAATCAGCATAGGACCTCAAATTTTTTATTAAATATTTGCAATTCTGATGTCAACCGCCCTCGTTTGTTGAAAATTATAGTAGTTCTAGTATCAAATAGGTTATGTTTACAGACTTTGTCTCCTGATCACATGAACCGATAAATATACAATTATCATGTTTTATATAGGAAGGCAAGCCAAACTGGATTGCTATCCCATGTACTGCTGCAGAGGAGACAGAGTCAACGCAATGCACAGCCTCTGAATCAGAAAGAAAAAAAAATTATGAATTGTTAGCAACGTGAAGATACTAGTATGATTTTGAAGCTAAAGAAAAAGAGTTGGGTAGCAGGTGGGAGACATTGCATAAATGTAGCTGATATAATGTTTAGATCACATTCCTAATTAAATAAGAGAAGAGATTCCTCTTGTCTTCCTTATCTCATAATATATATTGAGCATATGGCAACAGAAGGAAAGGAAAATTGAACCGAACATCGATTTCCAAAGGAAGAAAAAATGGCCCCTTCTTACCATACTCGCTCTAACAGTTTCCCTTCTAGACCACACCCTCTCACTTCAGAAGTTGATCAGCATTTGAGAAGATTAAGAGCTTCTCAATCTACTTCTACATCATCATCATCAATCAGCCATCAGATAAATGGCCTTCAAGATTTGCATGATTGTGTCGATAAGTTGCTACAGCTGTCCCACGTTCAGCAAAAGGATTTGGTTGATGAGTTGTTGAATGGATCTCTAAGACTCTTGGATATCTGTGGCATTGCTAAGGATTCCTTGTTACAAACCAAAGAGGCTGTACAGGAACTTCAATCAATTTTCCGCAGAAGGAGGGGCGATGATATTGAACTTACAAGTGCGGTTAAGAAATACCTGACCTCCAGGAAGACAGTGAAAAAGACAATCCAAAAGGCCTTGAAAGTCATAAAAAACCAAAGCTCCTCCCCAATCAACGAGGAACAAGCCACAACTAGCATTTTAAAAGAGGTTGAAGCAATCACATTCAATGTGATTGAATCTTTGTTGTCCCTTATCTCAGGGCCAAGGAAGCTAAGCAGTTGGTCAGTAGTTTCCAAGCTAATGCACCCAAAAAAGGTAGCATCTGAGGAAACAAACACAAATGGGTTTGAAGAGATGGATGCTAAGTTATCTATCCTCATCGGTCACAAGACAAGCAAATCTGAAAACATCCAGAACCAGCTTAAAGAAATGGAGTCAAACGTTCAACATCTTGAAGACGGACTCGAGTCCTTGAGCAGGCGTTTGATCAAAACTAGAGTCTCTCTTCTCAACATCCTCTACAATTAGATTACAAAATTTTGATACTCTATACTTGTACATCAATTGTACATCAATCAAAGATACTTGTATATTCTGTTGATATTAAATCAATTATACGCACAATTGTGAGCTCATCCTGATATTTCAGCAAGATTAATGCTGATAAGCTCATCCTGATACAACTGTAAAATCATCCTGATGCTCCTGCACTTTACAAACTTAAGAAACTGATACTCATTTCATCAAGATCAACTGTGATATTTCGACAAGATTAATGCTGATAATCTCATCCTGATACAATTGTAAAATCATCCTAATGCTCCAGCACTTTAGAAGAGGAAGATGTATTTTGTTCAGGAGAAGAAACTTTTACAGGAGATGAAACTACTGTAAGTTTTACTCAAAAATACTCAACCCTGGAAGTGGACAGATGCTTGGTAAAATTGTCAGCAGTATGATGTCCTGTAGGGACATATTGAACCTTTAAGTTGTTGACAACAACTCGTTCTTGAATATAGTGGGCATCCAATTCAATGTGCTTGGTTCGAGCATGGTAGGCTGGATTGGATGCAAGAGAACCTGCACTCTAGTTATCACATCAGATGACAGGTATTTCAAGAAGGTTCAGACCAATTTCAGAGAACAAGCTGCGAAACCAAGCAATTTCTATGGCTCCCAAGGCAAGAGCTCTATATTCAGCCTCAGTAGATGACAAAGACACTACTTTCTGCTTTTTAGAGCTCCGTTACAAGAGGTTGGGACTGAGGAATAAACAACACCCACTCGTCGTAGCAGGTCCAAGGATCTTTTCACTCTAATCCCATACATAATCATACATACTAAGGGGTCACTGCAGGGTCACTGAATTGATCTGGAAGGCTGCAGACAAGTGAAGGGATGGAACCCTTGTGACAACAACACCGTATTCCGATTCAAATTAATCGCATTCCTCACGATCAACGGAATAGAGGCAAACCGAAGACAAGAAGGCAAACAACACCCACTCGTCGATCGTCTGTCTTGGATGTCCCCTGCCCAATCGGCATCAGTGAAACATTCAAGATGAAATTGTTGAATCTTAGTGTATTGAATTCCAAAATCAATGGTGCCTTTAAGATAGTGAAGAAGTCTCTTACAAGCTTGCCAATGGAGTTGAGTGGGGACTTTGCTGGGCGGGTTATAATTTTCAACTATTCACCCTAAACCCTAGAATTATAAACGGCAATTGACGAGCATTCGATGACAATTATGTTGGAGATTTGGAGAGAAAGTGTCGATGAGTCCAAAGGTGGTGAAGGGAGTGATTTCTGGTGAGTGAATCGACCGAAAAAGGCAAAAACCAATCGACCAAAACAATTGCCTATTGCCAAGATTGGCAGAGCGAACGGAAGAAAGATGAGATGGGTTTTATTTCAAACATTTGAACACCGGTTTGACCTACCGATCAAACCAGTTCAACCCAAGACCCGACCACTCTACCAAGCTTCACCCNGAAGAACAGTTGAACTCCTGATATATAATAACTTGGTATCAGAAATACCTCAAAAGTTTGTTAATTTTTGTAGAACAATAATTAACTTTGTATTTAAAATGATGGTGAAAGTACATCTCTGAATCATAGATAATAAAATGTGTCACAAATCTTGATAAATGAATATATATACACTATGCATAAGTCTATTCATGGAGTTCTTTTTTTTTTTTGAAAAATAAAGTTAATGGTTGAATCACAAATATCCATTCCAAGCCCTAAGGATCACCAGGAAATATTAGTTTTCATGCTCAGTACTTCAGCTTGGAGAAAAGTAATAGCTTGTGGTGATCACAATTTCCTGTATGCAGAAAATATCAGAACACAAATATGAAATGCTTTGGGTTTTTGGCGTCTGTAATGTATCAAGATTTTGCTATTACAAAAATTTATTGACTAATCAATTATTTGTGAAAAGCTTGCTCATCTGGATTAGACTATGCAATTTTTTTTGCAGCTGACTAAAATATTGATTGTTGTGTGATGCAATTTTCTTTTAATGGTGAAGAACTAGATAAATCTAAATCATGTCCAAAATCAAGAATATTCATTTTTTCCTTTATTACTTCTAAATCAGATGTTGCAGTGCTACATTAGTTCATTGTTACCTATAGCTTTTGAAACTCTGGGAAAAAATTTACCACATTTTTATTGCAATAACAAGTGTAATTTGAATCAATAATCATAATTGTCAACAGAACTCTTGATAAAATTAAAAGGATGCATACACGAATTGACATTAATAAAACAGGTCCTTGGCCAGAACTCTTCATAAAATTTGTATAACTTGTTCAACATTTAGCTGGCTAAAATTGAAAGGATGCAAACATTATCATTGTTAGATCTTGCAGGAATAAGACCTCTGAAGAAATGTATATACATGAACGGACATGAATAAACAGATATCCGGAGCATAAAGATTAGCAGATAAGCTATTTAGAGACACTAATGAAGTTTCCAAGATGATAAGGATGAAGACCAGAATATTTACACTTCCAAAACCTGACGACTTGAATTAACTAAACACAATCCCACATGAGTATCACAGCCGTGGTACTTCTTTCAGGGGGCAAGCCAAACTGGATAGCTCTCTCTTGAGGAGCCAGAGTCAACGCGATTCGGGTTCACATATTTGATGAATCATGTGAAGACACAAGTATGATTTTGAAGCTAAAAAATAAAAGGGGAAGTGGGTGGGAGGACACATTGCATATATGTCGCTGATATAATGTTTCTATATCCAAATCGAAATCATGTTGACAATTGACATTGTGATTAGGAAAAGATTCCTCTTGTCTCCCCCATCTCCTAGTATATATTAGGCATATGGCAGCAAAATGAAGGGAAACTGAACACAGTTTTCCATCTAGACCGCACCTACTCACTTCAGAAGTTGATCAGTATTTGAGCAGAGTAAGGGCTTCTGAAGCGACCTCTACGTCATCATCATCAATAAGCCATCAGATAAATGGGCTTCAAGATTTGCATGATTGTGTCGATAAGTTGCTTCAGTTGTCCCTGATTCAACAAGCTTTAGCCCAAGATGAGCAAAAGAAAGGGGTTGATGAGCTGTTGAATGGATCTCTGAGACTCTTGGATCTCTGTAGCATTGCTAAGGATTCCTTGTTGCAAACAAAGGAATGTGTAAAAGGACTTCAATCGATTTTGCGCAGAAGAAGGGCTGATGATATGGAACTTAATAGTGAGGTTAAGAAGTATTTAACCTCCAGGAAAGCAATGAAAAAGGCAACCCACAAGGCCTTGGTGACTTTGAAGGGCAAGCAAAACAAATGCGCCTCTGCAATCAATGATAAAAACGAGACTAAGGCCACAATCAGCATGTTAAGAGAGGTTGAAGCAATCACTTTCACTGTGACCGAATCCTTGTTGTCCTTTATCTCAGGGCCAAGGACTCCATCAAAGCGAAGCAGCTGGTCACTAGTTTCCAAGCTAATGCAACCAAAAAGAATTGCATGTGAGGAAGATGAAGCAGACATAAATGAGTTCGAAAAGGTGAATGCTGCATTGTCTACCATCATTAGTCAAAAGACAGGTAAATCTGATAACATCTCTCATGTTCTAAACCAGCTTAAAGAATTGGAACGCAGCATTCAAGATCTTGAAGAAGGACTTGAGTGCTTGTCTAGGCGATTGATCAGAACGCGAGTGCCCCTTCTCAACATCCTCAAGAATTAGATTAAACAATTTTGATATCCGTTTTTAGGTAGGAAAATAGGGTTAAGAGTCTAAAACCAAATAGAATTAAGAAAATAAAACCCTAACCCTCGTGCGATATAAATAGAAGTCTTTTACATTATATTGGGGATTCCTTGAGGAGAAGAAGAGGAGAAAAATCTGCAGAGAAGAGAAGTAACAGAAGTTCTAGAGCTTCGATTCACAACATAGAGAAATTTTTCTTGTTCTTTTCTTATAAACTCATAATGATTGTTTTAATAAAGATAATTGTTTCTTTCATATTTATTATTAACTAAATTTATTCTTTAGGGTTAAGATGTAGCACAATCTCTTGATTATGTATTGATTTTTGTTTGTTTATTTTTATTAAGAATTTTCCTAAGTTTTACTATTATACCTAATGTTTTTTATTCTTAAGAGCTCAAGAATTGAATGAACTAATGGATTAGGTTGAAATCGAGAGATGATATTTAGTTGGTCTACAGTAGTGAAACCATAGGTTGAGCGAACGTTAAAGATAAGTTATCGCGAATTGTGAGGTTTTGGTAAACTCCATAGAGCATAATGATCTTCAATTGCCTAAATTTGATTAGAGATAATTCGGGTTAGTAATTAGAAGTTAATTTGATAATTGTTCGAGAGAAGTTTATTAGAAATTTAGGGAGTTTGACCTGTAAGAAGAGCTTAATAAAATTAATATAAGTGATCGATACATATGAATGAGAGTTGGTGTAAAGTTTATGCCTCATGACTAGTCATCTTGTTTTTACCCAAAGGATTATTTTAATTGTTCTCTTTTTAATTTCAATTGTTAATTTTATTTAATTTATGTTTTCCTTGATACAATTTGGATTGATCAAATAGTAATAGGATAGTTTAATTGGTAATTGATAATAGTAATTCCTTTGGATTCGATATCCATATTTATACACTTTATTACTTGCACAATTTCGCATACTTACGAAAATCTACAACAATAATGTTTTTACTAAGCACGTAAAGTTGACAGTGAAAATAAAGAGAGATTGTATTATACAAGAAAAATGATAGAGTTACCAAAAAGTGTACACTGAAATTGTGCACTGAATAACATGGCAAAATCTTTACCGTTGATTAATATTAACTTATAATGAATCAAAGGTCAGGATTTAGCCACGTCATTCGATACACAAATTCGGTGCACACCCATCGATAACTACAGTATTACTCAATATACAACCATGATCAGTTTCAATTAGGGGTGAGCACGGGTAGCGGGTAGAACCGGAACCGGGGGTAAGAACCGAAACCTACCCAGAACCTGCACTGTGCGGGTAGGTTCCGGTTCCNGAGCATAACAAACACATCCAAATATTCTTAGATGATCAATAGAAGGTTTACAACCATGCCAGATTTCATAAGGAGTGGCATTATTCAAGGCTTTAGTGGGTAGCAAATTTAACAAATACACTGAAGTATTTGCTGCCTTAGCCCAAAAATGTTTAGGTAGTTTTTTTTTTTTCAAACATCAAACACCTAGACATTTCCATCACTGACCTATTTTTCCTTTCACGCACTCCATTTTGCTGTGGAGTGTAAGGAGTGGTCAGTTGATGTATTATACCCTCTGTTTTGCAGAAAGAGGAGAATTCTTTTGAAGTATATTCTGAGCCATTACCTGATCTGAACAACCTTAGTTTGCACCCTGACTGCTTTTCCACTTCTACCTTGAATCTCTTGAACACATCAAAAACTTCTGATTTTTGCTTCAAGAAGTAAATCCAGCAATGTCTTGAGAAGTCATCAATAAAGATTAAAAAGTATTTGCTCCCATTTAGAGAAGCAACACTTATTGGTCCACATAAATCTGAGTGAACAAGCTGCAGTTTCTCAGTGGCTTTCCATTTGCTTCTTGAAAAAGGTAACTTGGATTGTTTGCCGAACTGACATACTTCACAGACACCATGATGATCATCAACAGTTGGTAAATTTAGCACTAGCTCCTTATCATGCATAATTTTTAAAGTTGCATTGTTGAAGTGTACAAGTCTTCTATGCCATAAATTTGAATCAATTTCAGTATGTTGATAAGCCTTAGTGCTAGCTACATTCCAGTCTATAGTAAAATTCTTTGCTATCATATTGACAGTCATAAGTTCACTACCACAAGGATCAACAAAGGTGCATGATTTATTTTGAAAATGCAGAGAATAACCTTTTTCTACATCTGCCCTACACTTAGCAAGTTATGATTAATTTTAGGTACATAAAGAACATCTTGAATGTATTTGGTACCTGCTGGAGTATCAATCACAGTTGCTCCTCTTCCCTTGACATCTAGCATTTCACAATTTCCAATTTTCACTTTGGACAAATAAGATTCATCCAAGTCTTTGAGAATGTTAGCATCAAAGGTCATATGGTTTGAACAACCACTATCTATTAACCAGGAGATTGATTATTCGGAGTTGCATAACAAGTTGCAACAAAAAGATTTTCTCCAGCATCTTCTTGTTTCTCAGTTGAATGAATTTGCTAAGTTTGTTGAGCTTGGATTCCGCTTACATTTTTACACACTTTATCAATGTGTCCAAGCTGGTTACATGACCTGCATCTGACGTTAGGTCTGTACCAGCAATAATTTGGAGAATGCCGCTTCTTTTTACAATGAGGACAAGGAGCATACTTGCCTTTCTTTTCACCTTGCAATTTGCCCTTTACTTTTCTCTCCTCCTTTCTGTCAACATTCTGCTTCTTCATTGAGTTATTGATAGAATTTTTCTCCTGCAGCTTAGCATTAAGAGCACTTTCTACAAATTCTTCATGCCTTAGAGCTCTCCTTTGGTCTTGAGCTTTCAAGGCATTTATCACTTCAGACAAGGTAAGATCAGAGAAATTTTTAGAGTCTTCAAGAGAGGAGATTTTAGCCTCATACCCCTCGGGAATGCTCACTAGAATTTTCTCCACAATCCTCTGATCAGAAAGAGTTTCACCCATTAACCTTATCTAAATTACAACTTTCATAATTCTATCAGCATATTCCTTAATAGTTTCAGCCTCCTTCAATTTCAGAACTTCAAACTGTCTCCTTAGATTAAGGACATTCATCTGCCTTGATCTTTCATTCCCTAAAGAGTCTTCTTTCAATCTTTCCCATGCTTCCTTAGCAGTCTCACACGTAACAATCTTAGTGAATACTGCATCAATTACAGCTTGATGAGTGATTGATAAAGCTCTAGGTGCTTTAGCAACTTCTTCTTCATGCAATCTTAATTGATTTAATGTTGGATTTGGCCTCAAAGGAGGAGGTTGTTTCTCCTCCTCCACATATTGCCATAGGCCTAATCCTCTCATGTAGGCTTTCATTTTGACAGCCCATAAATGATAGAGCTCACCGTTATACATTGGTGGTGACATGGATGAAGATGAAGAAGCCATGGTGAACTAGTGATCAAAACAGAATATTAAAACTCTGATAACTTTAGAATGAACACACCCCTTAAGATCAGAAAAGCTCTGATATCATGTTGTCAAGGCTGAGAATGAATTAGACTGATGAAGCAAGACAAATTTATGCAGTAAGGAAGCAAATCAAGAGAAACAGTGGAAAGAAAAACAGAAGAAAAAACAGACGAGAGCTGAAGCTATATTTCATTCACATATACGTCAATACAATATACATGACTAACAAAATATATAAACATCTGACGCACCGTCCCTTAATTAAAGCACAACATACATAAAGTAGCAACAGTTCCTTAAAATAAGGATCACCAAACATTTTAACCAAAAAACTTCAACTAATACAACTACTCCACTGACTTGAAAGAAAGCAAGAGATATAAACAACCTCAATCTTCTAACAGTGTTGATAAGTTGCTACAGCTGTCCCACGTTCAGCAAAAGGATTTGGTTGATGAGTTGTTGAATGGATCTCTAAGACTCTTGGATATCTGTGGCATTGCTAAGGATTCCTTGTTACAAACTAAAGAGGCTGTACAGGAACTTCAATCAATTTTCCGCAGAAGGAGGGGCGACGATATTGAACTTACAAGTGTGGTTAAGAAATACCTGACCTCCAGGAAGACAGTGAAAAAGACAATCCAAAAGGCCTTGAAGAATTTGAAAGTCATAAAAAACCCAATCAATGAGGAACACGAGACGAAGGCCACAACTAGCATTTTAAAAGAGGTTGAAGCAATCACATTCAATGTGATTGAATCTTTGTTGTCCCTTATCTCAGGGCCAAGGAAGCTAAGCAGCTGGTCAGTAGTTTCCAAGCTAATGCACCCAAAAAAGGTAGCATCTGAGGAAACAAACACAAATGGGTTTGAAGAGATGGATGCTAAATTATCTATCCTCATCGGTCACAAGACAAGCAAATCTCAAAACATCCAGAACCAGCTTACAGAAATGGAGTCAAACGTTCAACTTCTTGAAGACGGACTCGAGTCCTTGAGCAGGCGTTTGATCAAAACTAGAGTCTCTCTTCTCAACATCCTCTACAATTAGATTACAAAATTTTGATACTCTATACTTGTACATCAATCAAAGATACTTGTGTATTCTGTTGATATTAAATCAATTATACGCACAATTGTGAGCCCATCATCATATTTCAACAAGATTAATGCTGATAAGCTCATCCTGATACAACTGTAAAATCATCCTGATGCTCCTGCACTTTACAGACTTAAGAAACTGATACATTTCATCAAGATCAACTGCGATATTTCGACAAGATTAATGCTGATAATCTCATCCTGATACAATTGTAAAATCATCCTGATGCTCTTGCACTTTACAAACTTAAGAAACTGATGCTCCTGCACTTTACAGACTTAAGAAATTGATACTCATTTCATCAAGATCAACTGTGATATTTCGACAAGATTAGTGCTGATAATCTCATCCTGATACAATTGTAAAATCATCTTGATGCTCCAGCACTTTAGAAGAGGAAGATGTTTTTTGTTCAAGAGAAGAAACTTTTACAGGAGATGAAACTACTGTAAGTTTTGCTCGAAGATACCAACCCTGGAAGTGGATAGATACTTGGTGAAAATGTTAACAGTCTGATGTTCTGTAGGGACGTATTAAACCTTTAAGTTGTTGACAGCAACTTGTTCTCAAATATAATGGGCATCCAATTCAATGTGCTTGGTTCGAGCATGGTAGATTGGATTGGATGCAAGAGAACCTGCACTCTAGTTATCATACCAGATGACAATTATTTCAGGAAGGTTCAGACCAATTTCAGAGAACAAGCTACGAAACCAAGCAATTTCTATGACTCCTTGAGCAAAGGCTCTATACTCGGCCTTAGTAGATGATAAAGACACTACTTTCTGCTTTTTAGAGCTCCATTACAAGAGGTTGGGACTAAGGAATAAACAACACCCACTCATTGATCATTTGTCTTGGATGTCCCCTACCCAGTCAGCATCAGTGAATCAGTCAAGATCAAATCGCTGAATCTTAGTGTATTGAATTCCAAAATCAGTGGTGCCTTTAAGATAGCGAAGAAGTCTCTTACAAGCTTGCCAATGGAGTTAAGTGGGGGCTTTGAGAAATTGACTTAACTTGTTAATGGAGTTGGCAATATCAGGTCTTGATAGAGTGAGATATTGCAGGGCACCGATTGTACTTCTATAAAGAGAAGGTTTGTCAAACAACTCACTATCTTCAAATGTCAATTTGTTCCCTAGAGCCATAGGGGTTGAAAATGATTTGGAGTCACTCATACTAGTTTTTATCAGGACATCCCTAGCATATTTATCTTAGCTCATGTGAATGCTTGAATATGTCCTATGTACCTCAAAGCCTAAGAAGTACTTGAGAGAGCCTAGAGTTTTCAATGCAAACTCAATATTCAGCTTGTGGACAATATCAGCTAAGAGCCTGCGATGCATTGCCTTTGCTTTTAACTTCTGATTATCAACGGTGTACCAGTGGAGTCGAGAAAAAGAATTAACGAGGATGCATGTAAGTTTGTTGTTGCAACTCTCCAAAACCAGCCATGGACTAAACTCATCTCAACATAAACTTGCAAAAGAAGTCGGACTTGTAAGACTTGATGCGGTCACATGCCATAAGTATGCAATTATGCAGTTCAAAGTGCAATTATGCCATAATCATCTAATTATGTAATGTTATAATTAATTATGTAATCATACTATAATGAATTAAATAATCATACTATAAATCTTTAATATAATATTATAATCAATTTGTTTATAATAGAATGTTATAATTAATTAAGTAATCATTTAATTATAATGTAATGTTACAATTAATTAAGTAATCGTACTGTAAATTTATAATGTAATGTTATAATTAATTAAATATCTAATCATTTAATTAAGTATTGTACTAATGTTTATATAGTAAATTAGTAATTACTAATGTTTATAATATAATGTCATAATCAATTAAGTAATCATTTAATTATGTAAAGTTATAATTAATTATGTGATCATACTATAATGTAATGTTATAGTGAATTAAGTAATCATACTATAAATCTTTAATATAATATTATACTAATGTTTATAATGAAATGTTATAATTAATTAAGTAATTAACTAATTATACTATAAATCTAGAATGTAATGCTATAATTAATTAAATTTCTAATTATTTAATTAAGTAATATACTAAATGTTGTGAGTAAATTAATTAAGTAGTAATCAATTAATGTAATGCTATAATTAATTATACTATAAATCAATTAAGTAATGTTATAAAATTATAATTAATTAAGTAATCATTTAACTATAATGTAATGTTATAATTGATTAAATATGATATTTAATTAGTAATTAAATTTATTAATGTTTATCAATTTATCATATATAATTAATTAATTGCTAATTTACTATAGATATACTCAGAACTTGATAATTGAAGTAAATAACTAAATATATTATTATTCAATCAAATATACTATTTTATTCAAAAATGATTCTTTTAATAACATTAAAACACTTTTAACTGGATCCTAATTCCAATTATACACTTAATTAATCAAAACTTTAATATTAATATATTAATGTTTTTAATATGGTGTAGTTTATATGTAATAAGTATCATTGTATATTTATTTAATTAGGTTATTCTAAAATTTTAACTTTTTCTATTTTAAATTTTTTATATGTAAAATAATGAAATCCCCCATTATTCACAAATATTTCATTGGAGCTCAAGTTCCAAAATAGGTTGCAAAAATCGGTTCCAAACACATTCCAAATCGGGTACCCGCTATAGGCTCCAAACCGGGTACCCATTTCAGGTTCTCTTTCCAGGTTCCAGTTCCGGTTCCTCCAAACATAAGAACTGGAACCGGAACAGAAACCACACAATGTCGGTTCCAATAAAATAGAATCGGAACCTACCCGCAAAGTGCTGGTTCCGAGTAGGTTCTGGTTCCGGTTTCGATTCTACCCATGCTCACCCCTAGGGATGAGAAGTGCAGACCATGAAACAGAGTACCCTTGATGTAGCGTAGAATTCGAAGAACTACAACAAAATGGGTAGATCGAGGTGCACTCATAAACTGACTGACCAGATGAACAACATATGAAATGTCAGGCCTGGTGACAGTAAGATAAATGAGACTGCCAACTAATTGTCGATAAAGAGGTGCATCTGCAAGTGGAGAACAGTCAGTGGCCAGAAGCTTAGTATTATACTCAAGTGGACTAGTGGCTATCTTGTTGTCTGTCAACCCAGCTTTGGAAAGTAAATCAGAGGTATATTTTACTGCATATTGTTGTTAATTCAGCTCTTTTTTGCTTGATGCTGTGACATAAGGAGTGGTCCGCTGTTGAGTGATAATTCAGTTTGAAGTTTTGTGTTTTTGGTGATATAAGGAGTGGTCTAATGTTGTGATATAAGAAGTGGTATGCGGTTGAGTGAAAATTCAGTTTGAAGTTTTGTGTTTTTGATGATATAAGGAGTGGTCTAATGTTGTGATACAAGAAGTGGTATGCGGTTGAGTGAAAATTCAGTTTGAAGTTTTGTGTTTTTGGTGATGGAAAAATTAGAAAATGTTTGGCTTAAGGGGAAATGTTAAGCAAAGGTGCTGTGAGGAAAAAGTGAAACAGGGTAGTTTTAGAGGAGCTGGGTCTATTTTTTAATGATTGTGCAAGCTATGTGGCTTAAGTGTAATTACAGAATTTAAAAGCACTGCCGTTTTATAAGTAACAATGGCTATATAAGTGCTTATGAACTGTAACAGAATTTAGTTAATAAAAATTCCAGATTCCGTATTCTTCTTCTTACTGAAACTTCCTTTGCACTTTTCTTTCTTGATTTTACAAAATCCTTTACTGGCCAACTAATTAAATTTGATATATGTCTGTTGAAAGCTACTCGCTTTCTTTTTTTGGTATTCATTTTCAGCCCTCCATTACCATGTCTTTGAAGCTTCGAAAACCCAACGACCCAGAAATATGTGACCAAGAACATAAGTCTCTTGGCTCTGGCAAAACTCCAAAAAAGAAGGCAGCGATTGGCTTTTGATGTCATTCGCTTCACCAGGGCTCTTGCTTCTTTGTCAAAGATAGCAACAAACAAATCTTGCGGTCCCTCTCTTATGTTGCCATTGTTATTGGTAGACGCTGGAGTTAATTTTCTCAACATTGAATAGAAAATACTCACTGCCATCGTGAAAGAGAAGAACTTCGAATCTTTGAGTAATCTTGGAGGAGTGAAGCACGTTGCTGCAATTCTTGGAACCGACGAAAAGAGTGGTGCCCAAGGTAATGAGGCTAAACTTCTGCATAGAACTGTAGGTTCTTGAAAGAGAAGTTCAAATAAAAGGATGAATGTTTTGCAATGAAAGGAGACGGCAAAAAAGGCACTTTTCAGTCTATGTTTTTCATTCATAAAACAGAGTCATTTATACAGACTTTTAGCACTGTATTACCTACTGCAATATAATAAACTTATTACAAATCAACTTTAGCAGAAAACAAGCACCTAACCAAGTCTAAGTCTCAACTAAACAAGACACAAAATCTGCATTTAAATGGCTAAATATCTGCTCCACAACCACTGCAAATTTAACAAAATAAACTTGAGCTGCAACTTTGGCTCCAAAACATATTTGAATATTCATTGTTAGGTTGAGGCTAGGCCTAATTCAAATTTCAAACTTAAAAGGTTGAATAAGTTCCTTTCACCCATCAATCAAATCCTAGCTATGGCGGTATCAACTGTAGTGGAGAGTGGAGCAAGGCTTCTTTTTCTTCGGGTTAAACCATTTGATGCTTATTTTTCAACCCCCAATCTGCCTAATGCCTATAAGGGGGCGTTTGGTTCGGGTGTATCTGTCATTACCGAGAGCAAGTGATCTTATATTACTTGATTATCATGTTTGATTGTCAAGTAATATAAGATACCGGTAATCTTCAAATATCAATAGTAATTACTATTGGTAATATTGGAGATAATATGATTACCTTCATTTTCTTAGGTTTTCTAATATTATCAGGGTTATCTTTTTTTGTTACAATTTTATCCTTTATTAATAAAAATTTTGGACAATAATGCCCCTATTTTAAAAGAAATTTACAATAATATCTTATTTCAATTTTACCATTGTTTAATTAAAATTTTGGACAATAATGCCCTTATGTTTAAAACAATTTACAGACCACTGCCACCTAGCCACCACTGTCGACAGTGGGCCAACCACCACGGACCGCCGCCGGGAAGTCGCCAGAGTCTCTAAAAAAGAACCAGATTCGGTGGGAGGCTCCGGGAGGCTTCGGTGTGGCCGTTTCCGACCATATTAATGGTCGAAAACGGCCATATCAGGCCAGATCTGGCCGTTAACGGCCAGATCTGGCCTGATATGGCCGTTTTCGGCCATCAATGTAGCCAGAAAAACCATATCGAAGCCTCTTAGTCACTGTGAGCTACTCACGGGGACTTTCGAAGGTTTCCGACGGTGGTTTGCGGTGGCGACAGGCGACGACAGAAGGTGGGGGTGATTTCATCATAAAATAAAGTTTTATATAAACGGGGTTGTCTTAGCTAAATCTAAAATATTGGGGGTTAAAAAAATTATTTAAAAATTAATAATAAAAATAATATTATATTAATATTTTAAAAAGGGACAATTTAGTAATTTAAATAACATACCCACCAATTTATTCCCCATAACCAAACATATTAATATAACATACCCATCAACTAACCAAACACATTTTCCTAAAGATTCCCAGTAATCTTCTAAGGCAATCTATCTTTCCAGTAATCCAATATTCCCAGTAATCTAACATTCCTAAACCAAACGCCCCCTAAGAGATAACTCAATGATATCAATAACAAAATTGAGTGTAATATCATCAATTATGTCAATCCAATAGTTTGCAATGATTTAATCATAAGTGGAACATCAATCAAGATTGCAACTGTGGTGCTGCAGCTCGGAAGGCAGATAAACTTAGATAAAGTTAACCATCACTGGATAACTTGATGGTAAAAGAGTGAAAAAAAGGTTTTATGAGCTCCTGAGTTCGAGGGGTGACCATTGGGGCTGTTATCTGGTCGACAATTCTAGAACCCCGAAAGATTAGTTGAAGTGTGTGCAAACTAGTATCATATCAACATTATCACAAATTGACACATGAACATCACATAAATATTAAATATTCAAATTTAATGGATCTTCATGTTTTAAGCTTCTGGAAATAGCTGAGAAACAAACAAATAACATCAGGCTTCATGAATCTTTTGTTTGGTACCTTAAATTTAAGATTGCAGTTCAAACAAGAATAATAATTGAATTGAATTGATGGTAGGAAAGGACGGGTCCAATTATAAATTTGGGTCATTTACTTGTATTTATGTTACCCCAACATTTGGGCCCCGAGCTTGTTTGATGGCTCAACTGTGGGTCTAGTGAGCCTTTTTTAGCTTTAACCTCAATCATATATCTCAAATTATTCACACTAATTATTGAGAAATTGACCATGTCAAACTTAAATTATAGCTCCCTAATTTAATTCATACCAACAATTAAAATTCAGTTAACTATAAATTATTTTAAATATAATTTTTAAGATGGCATCAAACCCATCTTCAAGATTGTATCAAACACAACTTTAACGAAGTTGTAAAACGTCGATATAAAAATTTAAACCCTTTCACTAATGATTTTAGACATGAATATTATTTTAAAATAGAATATCAATCAATAACACAAGCATTGGATAACTACCTTTGGGTGATATAACGGTTTGATAAGGTCTTTTGGATATATTATTTAAGAGATCTTAAGTTCGAGTCCCTTCTCGGGTGCTAATAGAGGTAACTACTAAAGCTCTTACTCGATCGATAGTTTTATGCAGAGGTAACTCTTAGTTTCAAAGTCTCAAGAGATTAGTTGAGATGCGCATAAATTGGCTTGGATACCTCCGACCTTCAAAAAAAAGAAAAAACACAAGCATTAGAGGTCTACTAAATAAAAATTGACTTAATCATAACATATCCAGATTGTTCCAAATGATTGTATAGGTTTTCGCAGAAGAAAAACAGAAAATCCATAATTCTGTTGCAGCCAAAGTACAATTCTCAAGCTCTTCACAAACCTTTACAAGTACAAAAATAAAGCATTTTCAAACCATTACTCCATCTTGTAATTCTACATAAAATTTAGTAGACATTCAGGTATGAGGTTCACTCCAGAAAATGACTATATATTTTCGAAGAAAAAATATACAATTACTCAAAAATACATGCCAAAACAAGATACCAAACTATAATTTTATATGTCTTGCTTGCAAAATGTCATCTTTCGTGGATGGTTCCATGGCATGGCACTCTCTGCAAGCAAACAAAAACGACATGAAAAATCTCTTGCAGAGCCCTTGCGCCTCCGCCCTGTCACGGCTACTCCTCCTCCTTTCTGTACCTTGCGAAGCTGATCTCTTTAATGATGATGAAGATGGTGATCTCAACCCATCTTTCAACACAGCTCCGCCGGCATTTCTCCTCTGCGAAGTCTCGCGTTTCAGCACTGCAGCAGGCACCGGCGTCAGATGTTGCCACCTCTGCGAAGATCCATACAGCTGAGCGGTGACGATTCTACTGGCTTTCGTCGCTTTGCATGCAGTGTTTTTGTTATTGTAATACAAGAATCTCCTCTCCGAATTGTCACTCGAGCTCGTTCTTGCGCTGCTGCAGCTACTGCTCCTGCTGTTAGTACTATTACTTCTCGATGACATGAGCGAATCCTTGCTACTAACACTGCTCGTTCGACTTGTCGCACGAGATATACCAGCATTAATGTTATCAGTAGACGGTCGTTGATCGCGTGGGAAAGAGTGAGGCAAGAGGCGGCCGTTGAAGAAAAGATGATCAGCAGGTGAGTTTCTTGAAGGGTCTTGCGAGGGAGAGTCAGGAGTAAAGCAACCAAATTCAAAGTCAGAATCTTGGTCTTGATTTGGGGTACTAGGGAAGGAGAACAGCTCCCCGGAGCTCGACTTTTGGCGGCGGTTCTCCATTATTATTAAAGGGTGCGTTGTTCCTTGGTGGAGAGAGTGTAGTGAGGCTAATTGTGTGTTGATGATATATACAAGAAGAATTGGTAGTGGATGATGTTATAGACAAAGTATGGTTTTGAGGGCCCTGCCCTGCCCTGTTGTCGACTGATTTTTGATAAGCTTTCTTGGTAGTGGTATAAATCATGTAGCCATATACTTGCCAACTCAACCTTAACTTAGCACATGCTATTGTTTGTTGGTGTTGTAATTGCCTCATTCCAAACCAGTATGTGTTAAATGATTTAGCTACTCCATTACTACCATCCTACCCACCTTCATGGAGATTTGCAAAACTTCTCAATACCCTTTTATTTATTCAGTTTTCATTAAATATTAGATTCGTGCAACCTTTGGTATAACATCTATATCTCATTTTTTGGATAGTATATGTAAATGGTATATATTTTATCGTGTAAAATCCTTTGTATTGGATTTATAGGTTATTCCAAGTTCTTGCTTTACCATCACCATTGATTAAATCACCGATTTGGGTTATATTTTGTCTCGTTGTTCGAAGAAACTTCAAGGAAGCTTGAAGCATTTGGTATTGTGCTTGTGTTGTTTTTAATTCAATGAATTGGGCTGTGCACTTGCTTTTGTTTCTTGGAAGGACACGTCCTCCCAAATATACTCTTTGATAAGTAAAGCAAAAGATACCTTCAAATCTGTAAGAGAGAAAGATAGATAAAGTAGAGAGACTAATTAATCAACTATATTACCAATTGGGGTTGTTTGTTAAGATTATTTTCAGAAGACCAAATTGCCATGATCGGATCAACTAAAGCTTTTTCTTAGTGTTGTGGAAAGCAAAGGCTCTGTAGGGACTAATGGAAAGAGGTAATCAAAATGGCATTGAGTAAAATAATTTTATCAAACACTTGGATGGCTCCTAGAATTGAGGACAAAGCAGGCATTGGAAACCTGGTTTGTCTCCTAAATGGGCTTCTGAGGAGAGAGCGCTGGGCCCATTTCAACATATCATGCCTGAGGGACCACGCCACTCAGCCCGCCTTTTGTCCCCACAAGCAACTCATTTGTTAAACCTTTTTCTTTGTTGATACTCTAATTATGTGATGTGGAGGTCCCCTTCATTTTTGTACGAGTGTTGACTGGTTTCGTTGACTGGGAGCCTACACTTTTGACCAACAATTATCCTGTGGCTTTTTGTTTTTTTGGCAAATTAAGAAATACTTCCATTTTAATATGTATGAATGTTAATGGTAGCTTAACTCCAAGGTCTGGTCTCACAGTTCATGAGGTTTACACTTGTTGGGTTCGAATCTTGAAATTATTTACCACATTGTGATTTACCTGATTCTTTAGGTTTGTAGGATATTCAATGAATTCCAGAGATTAGTTGATGTGTGCGTAAATTGGTTTAGACACCATAGTTAAAAAAAAAAGTTAATTGTAGGAATAATTAAACGTCTAAAATTTAATATTCTGATTAAAAAAGTTATTAAGACGTCCTAATAAGAAAAAGAGTAATTTTGAAGGTTTTGTAAGCTCCCTTGTGTAAAATCTGTGTTGCGTTTGTATTTTGCTGCTCCAGGATTATGTTCATATCGTTCTACAATGTCCTATCGTGCTGCTACAGTTTACATCGTGTTGTATAATGTGGTTGGGGTATTATCATGTTGCGAAATGTGATCGAATTAAAATTGTTTTGCTATTTGTCGTGTCATACTCATACAAAAATGCAGTTGTTGGTAAACTTTTATATGTATAGAACTTGAGAGTTTTGCTTTGTCCCTCCTCGAAAGAGGGATGAGCGGAATGGCTTCGGAATCGATAAGCATTCCTCCGCCGGGTTCAGTTTGGGGTTTCCAGTCTCCTTCCCTTTAATTGCATGAGATAAGGAAAACGAGATCATCCTCTTTCTCTGGCTGAACAGCAAAATAAAAAAGAATTTGACTAAAAAAGCTGGGGCGATTTCTTCCTTTCCTGCTGGATTTTCGCATAAATAGGATGCCCCTATCTTTCTCTTCCCTAAGGAGGAGCTACTAGAATGCCTTTCTTTTAAAAGAGAAAGAGGTGAGATCGTAAAGTACTGAGATTGATTAGCTTGGCCGTCTTTATTCGCTTGCCCATTTTTATAATCTTTATATGTACAGTGGTAGTGCTGGGTTAGATTCTTGGCTCCAGTCTTTAGATATTTGTCAATGAGATGGTAATTCTTTGATTAGCAGAGCCCGAGAATGTGCTCTAGTAGAACTTTCAGATATGTCTATGTTGATGCAGTGATGCCTTGCTGGAAATGCATCAAATGCTCAAGTCTGCAAGATTGTGTTTTTGGAAAATGCAGAATGTTTCATGCAGCAAAGACTTATCGTGCATGGGAGAGTTTTTGTGTATTTGGTTATCTTGTTGTTTAAAGGGTATTTAAGTAAGTTCATTAGAAGTAATTTTACTGTAATGTTGTGTTGAAATTTGAATTTGAAAGTTGCAACTTCTGCTGTAGTTGGTGTAATTAGCAGAGAGTGGATATGAGTTATATATGGTCTTTTCTAATAAAAAGTTCATAAACTTTTTGCAAACATTTGGGGTGCTCTGTTTTTTGTTTCTCTCTCTCTCTCTCTCTCTCTCTCTCTCTCTCTCTTAATGTTGTCCGACTGAAACCAACAAATGGTATCAAAGCCACCACAAAAGCCAGAAACTTAGCATTGTAAACCTTCGATCATACCTCCAAAAATACTCTTCATCTCAAAACGATAAACCTGCAGTTGTTCTTCCTTCTTCTTGCGACAGACACGAAAAACAGGGGCATGGCAACGCAATCTGCCTTGATGGCTCCACCGGTATTCAATGGAGAACATTACCACATTTGGGCAGTAAAGATGAAAGCCTTTCTTCGTGGACAGGGATTGTGGCAATATGTGGAAGAAAACCGGTAGCCACCTCCTCTTGAACAGAATCCCACGTTGAACCAAATGAGGCTACATGAGGAAGAAACAGCCAAAGCTCCAAGAGCTCTTTCTCACATACATGCTGTTGTGACTGATCTTGTTTTTACAAGAATCATGGCATACGAAAACCCCAAAGAAGCATGGCATAAATTGAGAGAGGAGTACATGGGGAGCACTACAACAAGGAATATACAGGTTCTTAATCTAAGGAGGGAATTTGAGATGCAAAGAATGTAGGAAACTGAAAAAGTAAAGGATTATGTTGACAGACTAATGAATGTTGTCAACAAAATCAGGCTTATGGGAGTGGAGTTGACTGATCGTAGGGTTGTGGAAAAGGTTTTAGTAAGTCTTTCGGAGAGATTTGAGTCCAAAATCTCTTCTTTAGAGTACTCTAAAGACATGACTCAGATCACATTGATTGAGCTTGTCCATGCTTTCCAAGCTCAAGAGCAAAGAAGGCTCTTGAGGCAAGAAGATACTAGTGAGGGTGCATTGGTTGCAAGCTTCAAAGGTAACCTGCATAGACACAAACAAGAAAGTATACTGGAGATAGAAAAGGGAAAGAGAGGAGTAATAACCAGTGGGAGAGACCTATTGGAGCGAAATAATTTCCAGCCTGCACCCACTATAAAAAGAAGGGGCATCCGGAGAGAAGATGCTGGTTCAGGCTTGGTATACAGTGCAGGAGTTGTAAGCAATTCAGGCGTATTGAAAGAGTGCGTAAGAACAAAGTAAACTAGCCAATACAACAAGCAAAAGTTGGGGAGGATCAACAACAATGTCAAGAGACAGAACATCTCTTTGTGGCCAACTGCTACACTGCACAAACCAGCAATGATGCTTGGTTAGTTGATAGTGGCTGCACCAATCACATGGCTATAGACCTACAAAATTTTGTTAGCTTGGACAGATCGTATAGCTTCAGAGTTAAGATTGGGAATGGTGAATTCATGGAGGTCAAAGGCATAGGGGATGTTGCTGTCCAAACTTGGTCAGGTACAAAAGTAATCTCTCATGTGTTGTATATTCCTAGAATTAGCCAAAATCTATTGAGTGTGGGGCAAATATTAGAGAGAGGTTATTCCTTACATTTTGAAAACCAAGCATGTACCATACTGGATCCTAAAGGGGCCGAATTGATGAGGGTAAAGATGATAGGGAAAAACTTCCTGGTTGAGTGGAAAACCATCAATGATTCTACCCTGTTAATTGGACAAGAGGAGTCAGAACCTTGGCACAAACGGCTTGGACATTACCACTATAATGGCCTCAAGGAGTTGAAGAATGCAAACATGGTGAGTGACCTGCCAGAAATTGAGGAGAAAAGCACATTGTGCAGTGCATGCCAAATTGGAAAATTGAGCAGACCTGCATTTCCTACGGATCAGACCTGGAGAGCAACAATGAAGCTTCAACTGATTCATTCAGATGTTTGTGGTCCCATGCAAACAGAATCCTTAAGTGGAAGCAGGTATTTCATACTTTTTATAGATGATTATACACGGATGGCATGGGTGTATTTTTTACAGCAGAAAAGTGAGGTTCCTACAGTGTTTGGAAAATTCAAACTGTTAGTAGAAAATGAAGCTGGAACAAAGATCAAATTATTGAGAAGTGACAACGGAACAGAGTACACTTCAAGGGAATTCAGTTCTCTCTGTTTAGAAGTTGGTGTTAGGCATCAATTCACTACTCTATACACTCCACAGCAAAATGGAGTAAGTGAAAGAAGAAATAAGACTATCATGGAGATGGCTAGATGCATGTTGGCAGAAAAACATCTCCCTAAGAAATTCTGGGATGAAGCAGTAAATATGGGGGTTTATCTCCTGAATAGGCTACCAACCAAAGCAGTCAAGGGGCAAACACCAGTTGAGGCATGGACAAGAACTAAACCTGCAATTGGATATTTAAGAGTGTTTGGAAGTGTGTGCTATGTGATGGTTCCAGTAGTGAAGAAGACTAAGCTGGATAACAAAGCTGAAGTGGGTATTTTCATTGGTTATAGCAACTAATCAAAAGGATTCAGAGTGCACATTCCAGAGACAAAAA